ATCGAGCCAGTTGGAAGCCACAGACTCCTTCTCATTTCCCCAGAGCGGCGAATCCACCCCGCATGTTTCTCGCCATACCAGTGCCTCGGACCTGCGGGCTCCAGAATTGCAAGGGGGTCCCGTCGCCCCAGCGCTTTCTCCGAAACAGCAGAACCGCTCCAGTTCCTCTCCTCTACCAACTTCCACTATGAGCATCGATATCCAACAGTCAATCCGACAGACCATGGACGGCCACCATGCCAATGGCCAGGACAGCCCCGTCATGAACGAGACGCTTAGCGTGATCGACGAGCACATCACCGATCTGAGCACGCCGCGCCATAGTGTGGCTGGTCAGGAATCCAAGCACATGAACGACTCGGCCAGCGAGTACAGTAGCCACTTCGAGCACCGGATGTCTTATATCAATGGGCACGAAACCGATGAGGAAGAAGAGAACCAGCCGCGTGAAGAGCAGGTCCGGCAGTGGACGCCTGCAGAAACGGCCAAGCAGTTGCGGCAATGGGGTATTGAGGACAAGCACTGCGGCATCTTTGAGGATCAGGAGATCACGGGCGATGTGTTACTGGACATGAACCAGGACTTTATCTTCATGAAGGAGTTTGATTTTGGCGTCATGGGGCGGCGTTTGAAGACCTGGCACAAAATCCGAGCATTCCAGGACGAAATCAAGGGTGTCAACTCCTCGTCTCAACACCACCCTCGCGGATCAGTGGCTGCTGTTCCCGCTCCTCCAGAGGAACGGACACTCAGTCGCGCCAGCCATACCGGCCCGCTCCTGCCCAGGATCCCGACGCTGCGAGGGTCGAGCGGCACTCAGCACCCCCGCCTGATCAGCAGCAGTATGCAGAGCAACACCAGCTCGCCGATCACACCGCAGACACCCAACTACGTGAGCCATTCTCGCCGACCGTCGGCTGCTTCCATCCGCGAAATCAACCACTCCCGACGCCACTCGTCCATCGACACGACGAACCGGTACTCGGGTGCTCTGGAAGGGTCGCCAGGCATCGGCAAGCGCAGTTCGTTCGATCGCGGCTGGACTTTGGCCAGCGGCGCTCAGCGGCTGCCTCCTCGCCCTGGAACTGCAGCCGGCACGTCTCATCCGCAGGACATGGGTTTCTTTTCCCAGTTGAGTCACCGCCCCTCCAACTCGAACGGGTCTGATCCAGCTGTTTCCGTCACCGACGAATTGGACCGGGGCTACTTCTCGGGGCCCGAGGGAGACATGCGCAAGAACCGGCGCCTACAGAAACGTCAATCTGCTGCGGGCAGTGCGGACTCTCGGGCATCCAACATGACGAATGACCAGCTCCGCGTTGGCAAGCGCCATTCGCGCATCGGCAGCATGGACTCGATTCGAGAGTCTGTCAAGCAGATGAACCCTCCGGCCAAATCGCACACCAGCCCGGTGCCCAAGGGCCGTCTCCGCAGTCTGAGCACTCGCATCGTTGACCGCCGAGGACAGCAGTCAGCACCCGCTTCCGCAGTGGAGGATCGACCCAGCGGTGCATTAGGCTTGTTTGGCCCGCTGTTTGGCAAGTCCGACAGCGACTCCTCGCGCTCGTCCGGGGTACCCTTGCCTCAGCTCAAGGGTGCGGGACCGAAATTCCGGCGTGCCATGGGAATTCGTGCTTCGTCTGACGTGGCGCCGAAGGGAATTGATACGTCGACGCCGCCGCCGGCCTCTCCCGTTCGGGACAACGATCCGTCGGCGCGGACCGGGTCGACCACCCCTTCGACGTCCAAGAGCTCGGAGCGACACAGCACCGATGGGTCAAACAAGACCGCCGAGGGTGGCCTGTGGCCTCGATCCCGGCCGTCCGTCAAGGCGAATGTCAAGTCGAAGAAAGACACGAGCGCGTACATCCGCGGGCTGGAGAAGAAGTCCCCACAGGAGCAGATGGTGGGATGCGATTACTTTGGGTGGATGAAGAAGCGGTCTTCCAACCTGATGACGACGTGGAAACCCCGTCTTTTTGTCCTGCGGGGGCGGCGTCTGTCGTACTACTATTCGGAACAGGACACGGAGGAGCGTGGCTTAATTGACATAACTGCTCATCGAGTGTTGCGCGCAGACAATGATCCCATTGTGGCCCTTCATGCCACCATCACGGGATCGACTGCATCGCCGACCCCGGCCAGTCAATTGAGCCAGGGGGATGGAGCTTCGTCCGATAAGGCTGCAGCAGAGGCCCTTCGGGCGACCAAGGGAGCTGGTGAAGGACCGTTCTTCTTCAAGCTAGTTCCTCCAAAGTCAGGCACATCACGGACTGTGCAGTTTACTAAGCCAGCGATACATTACTTCCAAGTGGACAACGTGCAGGAGGGTCGACTGTGGATGGCGGCGTTGATGAAGGCGACGATTGAGCGGGACATGGCGCTGCCGGTGGAGACAACGAACAAGCAGCGTACGATCAGTCTCAAAGAGGCGCGGCTGATGAACCAGCGTCCTCCAGCGCTGATGACTGGATCGCCTAATACAGCGGATGTGGCTCCTCCAGAGACAGAGACGAAGGCACAGGACGGCTTGACGGATCTGGAGCAAGATCGCCAAGGGCTGTTAATCCAGGGGGTGTCCATGGATCCGGAGACAGAGCCGGTATATGTGGACGCGGAGGAACATCGATCGGCGAGTCCGGTCGCGATGGACGAAGTGTCAGTTCCTGGGTCGCAGCGGAACTCGCAGTAATTCATGGAGGATGGATTGATTGATTGATTGATTTGCTTATATGTGTGATGTATTGCTTTTTCCCGCAGCCTGGTTGGCGTTTTATGTGATATACCCCGCTTGAATGTTTTCATATGTGAATGAGTCTACCTATTTGTCTGTCTGTCTACTATGTAGGATGTAATATGGATGTGAATGTTGAATGTTGGGTCTTAATCATTATATTCTCTATTAAAGTATAAGCGACGGGGATCGGCGGGCCGCGTCACTGATCACCGCCGTTTCATCCTCGCTTCTTCTTCTACTTCTTACAATCCACACGATGATGGCTTGATTGAGTGCGTTCAACCCCGTTCACTCCTTGGTTTATTTCTATTCTATTCTATGCTTTCTTTCTTTCTTTAATTCCTATTCCAGTCACTCTTTTTTCTCCATCGATGCGGCTCTCCCCATGTCCCTCCTCCGCCTTCTCCTCCGCCACGCGCTGGCCATCCTCCTCCCGCTGGCCCTGACCAGCACTGTCTATCTCTATCTTTACCCCGTCTTCCATGGCTGCGCATTCCCTCTGCCAGAGGAATCTACCTCCACTCATCTCTCGATTCCACACCTCTCTCCATCCTTCCTCTCCACCCTCCGCCACCACCTCTCTCCCTCGCCTCATTCATCTGCGACCTCTCCCATCTTCCGCCTCCTCGTTCTCGCCGACCCCCAACTAGAAGGCGACACCTCCCTCCCCAAACCCCACGATCAACTCCCCGCCAAACTCTCCAACTACTACGCCGACCTGTCCTCTACACTCCGCACAAAACCTCCATCCGCCACCCTCTACACCCTCCGCTCCGTCCTCCGCTCCCTCGTCTCCACCGATCTTCCCCGCGCATTTCGCGCCGCGCGCAAACGCCTTGACCTTCTCGGAAATGACTACTACCTGGCGCATATCTACCGCACGATGCACTGGTGGAGTGCGCCGTCGCATGTCACCGTGCTGGGAGATCTAGTGGGGAGCCAATGGGTGAGTGACGGGGAGTTTGACGAACGTGGTCGGAGATACTGGGAACGGGTGTTCCGCGGTGGTGTGCGGGTAGATGATGAGATTACCGAGGAGATGGGGACGGAGGTGCTGGAAATTGATAGTGGGGAGTGGAAGAGGAGGGTTGTGAACGTCGTGGGGAACCACGATGTCGGATATGCGGGGGATGCGAGTCCATCGCGAATTGAAAGGTTCGAGAGGGTGTTTGGAAGGGGAGATTGGGATATCAAATTCACCTTACCATCTTCTGAAGAAGGCAAAGAGGGAGAGGAAACAGTTCCAACAATCCACCTCATCAACCTCAACAGTCTCGTCCTAGATACTCCCGCCCTGAGCCCCGAAGTCCAATCGGCCACATACGAATACCTAAACAGCCTACTAGAAGAGCGGAGCCCATCCGTCACTTCCTCTCCGCGCGGGCAAACCTTCACTCTCCTCCTAACCCACCTCCCCCTCCACAAGAAAGAAGGAATCTGCACTGACGCCCCCTTCTTCGCCTTCCACGATGACGACGACTCCAAGGGCGACGCCGCCGGCAACCCGCGCTTCTACGCCGGCGGCCTCAAAGAACAGAACCACCTAAGCCAGTACGCCAGCGCTAATGCTGTCCTCGAGGGCATTTTCGGGATGAGTGGGGACGACACCGTCCCCGGAAACGGATGGGGGAGGAAGGGCCTTATTCTCACGGGCCACGATCATACGGGCTGTGATGTGGTGCATTTTGTGAATCGCACTGTTGGTGAGGTAGATGGTGACGACAAGACCGAGGACGATGGTGACGCACCTGGCTGGGAATGGGATGCCCTGCGCTATCAGCACGGCATCACAAGAGAAGGGGACCTGGGCGTCCCCGCCATCCGGGAAGTGACTATGCGCTCCATGATGGGAGAATACGGAGGCTACGCCGGACTCCTATCGGTGTGGTTCACCGGTACGGAATGGAAGTACGAGATCCAGATGTGCGCAGCAGGCGTGCAACATCTTTGGTGGGCGGTGCATGTCGTCGATGTGATTACTTTGGGCTTGGTGGTACTGTATATCGGATCGAGTATCATTGGAGCTGGTACTGGTGTCTCTGCTGGAAAGGATACCACCAGAGCGGATAAGAAGATCAAAAAGCAATAACTTACACACATACTAGTTATAATAACACTGAATCTATATAGATCATCCGATCAATGAATTCATATCATAAAGACATCCGTACATCTACAATTACATCATTATTCAAATAGGGGAGAAAAAGGTGGACAGGTTTAAATTTTTTATGAATCCTTTTCATTTTTAGAATGTTCTTAGGTCATACTAAAAAAAAAAAAAACCGGTACCACCCCCTTTGTTCTAGAAGCCCTTGGTATCGCTTTTTTTTTTCTTGCTCCAAATTCCAGGTTTAACACATTTTACATGACAACACCGGAGTTGGAGGCAATACGCTAGATATCCAATTAGCATGTTTTTCCCACTAGTTGATATACTAGTGATGAAGAATAAGGGTGACTTACAGGCCAAAGCTCAGCAGCCTCCTTACCAACGGGACCGGTGATAGCGGAACCCTTCATCTCACCCTTGGCGTTGACGATCTAGATTGGAATCATTAGTATCCATATGCCACAATCCTTCACCACATGGCGGAAATATGGGACAAGGGTACGTACAACACCAGCGTTGTCCTCGAAGTAGAGGTAGATACCGTCGGGGCGTCTCCAGGGCTTGCTCTGACGGACAACAACAGCGGGCATGACCTTCTTACGGAGCTCAGGCTTTCCCTTCTTGACGGTGGCCATGACCATGTCACCGACACCGGCAGCGGGGAGACGGTTCAGGCGAGCACCGATACCCTTGACGGAGATGATGTACAGGTTGCGAGCACCGGAGTTGTCGCAGCAGTTCATGACGGCGCCGCTGTAAGGCAGAAATTAGCTGTGTTCATTCTTCTTTCATTTGTGTTCGAGTCCGTTGTGTAGGTTTTATATCATGGCGTTGAGAGAGTGGGATATCGAGTGGGGTTATTGTGTGTGTATTGTTCGAGTTTCGAATCAAAAGATTGTTGTCGAGGTTGAATGATTGATTTTATATCGAATCGCATATTTCTCTCGAAGATGGGGGTGTGTGTATTGATTGGAACGGAAAGAAATTTTGGAGTTGACATACCAAGGCAGACCGAGGGTCATCTTGAGCTTGTTGCCGGAGGCACCACCGCGTCTGTTGTAGATATTGTGTTAGCTTTAACATGGCCCTTGTATGTCGTGTATATCAGATCCCCAATCTCCATATATGTATTCCAGCTCTTTCCCGGACTTTCATTCATTCATTTATTCCGCCTCTTTTAATGTCGTATGTGTCGCATATCGAACATGATCCGACCGTGTAATTTCGAGTCGAAATCTCCAGGCAGCACTTCATCCTATACCTATCTCGTCTCATCTCATCTCATTCCCGCAGCTTTTCAATATCTCCGGTCCGGATTTCTTCCTCTCTCTCTCTCTCTGTCTCTCTTTCCCACACATCTCCCAGCAACGAAAAAGAATAACTCACCCTCTCGCAGACATCTTGGCTGTGTATCTAGGGTTGTCGGATTAAAACTGGGCGACAAGGGAAGGGGGACGGACGGACGGTCGAAACGGGGGTGTCGTCGGATTCAGAGACTTGGTCGCGGGTTTCGATTTGCTTCTCGCTTAGTGTGCGTCGTGGGTAAAATCTTGGCAGTGCTCTCCCATTGGTTGGTTTATGCGGATAGAGGGTTGCCCTAGAGCTAGTCTCGATGCAGTTAGGGTGTATTAGTCATATATGAGTCAGGATGTCTAGACTAACTAGTTATCTTTGATAACCAGCTCTTGTACTTCTTATCTGGGGTGACAGTTGTAGTAGTTTTCTCAATATGGAATACAATGGTAAATACACGTTATTGAATCTGCTCTAAAAATACTAGGCATTCATGCTCTCAAATATGTAATAATAATATGGTAAGAAATCAATTCGTTCCCAAACACCATCCGCCCGTGCCTTTGCGCCAGTCGTTCGTTTGTTCCCATCTTGCTCGCTCAGCTTCACTCCTCGGTCTTGCTTGCTTCCTCAGTCTTCTCGGCTTCTGTTGCTCCTGCGGCTTCCGCGCTGGGCTCCTTTGATTTAGCCTCACCCGACTCGTCCTTACCTGCCTCTGGTGTCTTGTCCTTGGCCTCACTCGGCTCACTGGCCTCCGCAGGCTTGGTCTCCGCCTCTGCCGTATCGGCTGCCTCAATTGTCTCTTTCGCAGGTGACTCTTCTTTTGCGGCAGGTGTCTCTTCCGTAGCGGGCTTGTCAGCTGCAGGGGCCTCCTCGCTGGGCTTCTTCTCTTCTTCTTCAGCCGCGCCTTCAGGGGCAGCTTCGGGTTTCTCGGTTTCCGGTGCGGCCTCGCCCGCATCTACCATCGCGGTGTCTTCGTCCTGGGGCTTGGGAGACGGTTGGCGGGAGTTCGGCGCCGATGCCGCTGTTGTTTCTGGTCCATCCACTGCCATCTCTGTCTGCTCTGTCGCAGAGGCCTCATCTGCTCGGGACGGCGCATCGGCCGCAGAGGGGGTGGCTTGCGCCTCAGTCTCCGGCTCCGGAGCCTCGGTCATCTTCGCATCAGCAGTCGTGTCCATGTCATCGTCAGGAAGGGACGACGCGTCCTGTGGCGTGGCCATGCCGCTCTCCAGCCCCGAATCGTTCACATCGAGATTCCGATAGTTGACCTGGTTTCTCCGCTTAAGCGCATTGGGTTGCCGCCGGACTCCGTTGGCCCCAGCCAGCTCCTCGTCGTCACTGTCGCTAAGCTCTCCGGGCTTCTCAATGTACTGATCGAAGCGCCGCTTGGTGAAGCGCTTGTCCTTGTTCTCGTCCTCGTCTAGATCGTCCAAGATGGCATCTGCCTCATCGTCCATGCCCTCTACGAGAGGCTCTCGAGGCACCTCGGTCATCTGCACGGAAGGCGCAAAGGCGGTCCGCTTAAGGTTTTCCACAACTTGCGTGCGGATCTTGTCGAGGTACTCCTTCGTGTTGGCATTGTCCATGTTGGACGGACGTACATCCAGCTCGTAGTCAGGTGCGAAGTACTAAGTCTGTTAGCTGTGTATAGTCATCACCTAGAAACAAGAACCTACCTCGTAGTAATCGTTGTATGGAAGCTCTGCCCCAAGGGTGTCACCAACGAGAATACCGGTTTCGAAGGCCCAAGTACGTGCCACATTTCGCATCGTATAACCACCTCCGCCAAGAATCATGGTGGGCAGGTTAAAGCTCTTCACAAAGTTCACACAGTTCGCGTGGCCCCGCATACTGAGGTTGAAGCATCCGAGACGGTCGCCCGAAAGACTGTCGCCACCACACTGCAAGACCACAGCTTCGGGTCGGTACCATTCCATAACGCTCTTAATAACGGGCTCAAAGATGCTCTTGTAGGAGATGTCATCAATGCCATCGCGGAGAGGGAAGTTGACGGCATAGTGCTTGCCCTGACCCACTCCGATATCGCGCAGCTCGCCCGTACCTGGGAAGTACTCGCCGTACTTGTGGAAGGACACCGTCATCACACGGTCGGTCGTGTAGAATGCCTCCTCAACACCATCTCCGTGGTGGACATCGATATCAACGTAAAGCACGCGCTGCTTGAATCGCAGCAGCTCCAGGATACCCAAAACGATGTCTGTGTTGCGTCAGCGAAGGCTCAGCATAGCGTATCGCGAAACTTACCATTTACATAACAGAATCCACTTGCTTCACTTTTCTTCGCGTGGTGAAGACCACCGGCCCAGTTAACGGCAATGTCGCACTTGTTGCGGTTGAGCCGGGCGGCACCCTCCATACTACCACCCGCGCTGATACCGCAAAACTCGAAGAGCCCATCGAAGACGGGACAATCGTCTCCGACATTGTACTTGCTCTGCTCCTTCGCGAAGGAGTCCATGTTGTCCGGTGTAACCTTCGAAAGGAAATCGATGTACTCATCCGTGTGGAACTGGGTCATTTCGTATTTCGAGGCCGGCTTCGCCCGCTGTAGACTGCGTCAGCGCTACTTTCAACAGACGTTGCAGAGATCCTGTAACAGAGCCAATAATAATCATCCTTAATTACTCACGTATATCTCCATCTTCTTATAAAGGCCATAGTTCATGACCAAACTGTGAGCCATCCTTATGCGATGAGGCTTCATCGGGTGTCCCGAGACATAGGCATAGTTTCCCACATCGGAATCGTAGAAATAGGCGACTTTCTTATTGCGATCCGCCGACCCATTGGTAATGGGGTCCAGAGGTGCGAGTGAGTTACTCATGTCGAAGGTCACTGTGCGAAGCACACGGCGATTCCTCACTCAGACCAATGCGTAGGAATGTCGCTTGAGCGCGGTGAATTCTCGGGGGGGTGTATGAGAGCGTCAGATGGAGAGAAAACAGGCAGATGACACTCAGATAGACAAGAAATATAATGAATAGGACAGATAATGTGCCCTATACGTGAGTCAGTCGAATAACTCTCACAGAGTGGCACTAATGGAGTACATTCGCAATGGCCGGGGGCGGACAATAAGTGATGGGGACCGAAAGGAAGCGAAGGGAGACGCAAAGGCGGAACCCCAAGCTGCTCCACCGCCTTCGTCAGGCTTCTTGGGAAGCTCGACCGTCACTACTTACACACGCCCCAGTTGCGCCTCCATCACCACCTGCTTCCCATCTTCAGCTTTTGTCTAACCTCGCTTACTGTTCCATCGGAACCGGCTCGAGCATCCCCTTTGCCTATACAACATCTGAGCTTTTCCAATCACCGAATTTGCTCTGATATCCCCACTCAACCTTCCGATTGGAGCTTCCGCGTAGGAAGTCATCCTGGTCTCATCTACATAACTAACACTCAACCAACCCCCCCGTCTCCACTATGGATCGTTTGCATCGCATGCTCCAAGCAGCCCAGGGTATGGGCGTTGGAGGGAATAATGGAGTGAGTAACACTTAGGCGAGCAGCGGACATGGCACTCGTATCTCCAGAGCGTTTGGGGCTATGGGCTAATGCAGGTACAGGATATCCCCAACCTCATCGATAACTCCGAAACCGTCCACATCTCATCGCTCGCTCTGCTGAAGATGCTAAGACACGGTCGGGCTGGTGTGCCCATGGAAGTCATGGGTCTGATGCTGGGAGAGTTTGTGGACGAGTACACAGTTAGGGTAGTTGACGTTTTCGCCATGCCTCAAAGTGGTACTGGTGTCAGTGTCGAAGCCGTGGACCCTGTTTTCCAAACGAAGATGATGGACATGCTGAGGCAAACTGGACGGTAAGCTCCAAAAGTATCTCACGAACTACCCGGCTTATCCTAACGCATCATGCTATAGACCAGAGACCGTTGTTGGCTGGTACCACTCGCATCCTGGTTTCGGCTGCTGGCTTTCGTCCGTCGATATCAACACTCAGCAATCCTTTGAACAGCTCACTCCCCGCGCCGTTGCCGTGGTCGTCGACCCCATCCAGTCCGTCAAGGGCAAGGTCGTCATTGATGCCTTCCGTCTCATCCAACCACAGACCGTCGTCATGGGCCAGGAGCCCCGCCAAACAACATCCAACTTGGGTCATCTGAACAAACCGTCCATTCAGGCCCTCATCCACGGTCTCAACCGCCACTACTACAGCATTGCCATCGACTACCGCAAGACCGGTCTCGAGGAGAACATGCTGATGAACTTGCACAAGCACGTCTGGACGGAGGCGCTGCAGATGAAGGACTTCCATGAGGAGGGCGAGCACAATGTTGAGCGCATGAAGCAGCTCGTCAGCCTCGCCGAGGGCTACGAGAAGCGCGTCAAGGAGGAGACCACGCTCACCAAGGACCAGCTTAAGACGAGATACGTCGGCAAGGTCGACCCCAAGAAGCGTAAGTTTCTCGCTTGCACGTTGTGTTATTTTGTTACTGATTGGATTATCTGCAGACATCGAAGATGTGAGCCAGCAGTTGATTGAGGACAACATCGTAGCCGTCTCGCGGCAGATGATTGACAAGGAGGCCTCGGTGGCACGGCAATCAAACGGCAAGGAGAATGGCACCGGCATGGAGGTTGATGAGGAACTATAGAGCAACCATACCGTAACATATATTTCCTAATGCCATTTCAGACTCCCTGAATTCAGGTTTCATGTACAGGACGGTCATCTGGTCTTGGCAGACACATCAATGAATGACGTTATATGTATCAACCCGGTATATAATCACCAGTAGTGACAACACCAAGTGATTTGAACCAAATAACAACAAAAGCTGTGCACTTTATTGTCTAAAAAAAATCTATGTATAAGTATATGTGCATCTAATATAAGCAATCCCAGTGAAAGCAACCGATCTAAACTCCCGCAAGGCCGCAATATCATATCATGCTAAATGAAGACCCAAACCCATCACGTCATGATCACATCTCAATAATCGAGGTAAGGATTGAACAATGGAAGTGGCGGCGGCGGCAGGCCATGCAACCTGGCGAATTCCTGCGCCTCCTCTAATTCCTTCTTCCGACGAGCCTTTTCCTGCATTTTCTTCTCATGCGCGATAACCCCATACGCATCTTCACTGAACTCCTCCCCATCATAATCCGTCCACCCCCGTTCGGGACCCCACGCAATCTTTATCCCGGCCGACCTGACCTCATGCATCAATCTCTTCATCAGAGCACCGCTCTTCCGTACAGATGGCCAGCCATCGAACTCCACGTATTCCAGATTCGGTAACCTCTCCAGGACACCCTTGAGCAGATCGCCCGCAAAATCCGTATAATAGTCCTTTGAGATGCGGAACCCCTCGAACACTGGATGCGATGGATCCACTTCGACAAAGACTTTGAACGTGCGCATCCGCTCCATCTCCTCCAGTCCCAGACTGCGTGTGATGGTCCATTCGCGCGGTGGCGCTGTCCAGCTCGATCCTAGGATCAACTCAACTGTGGCGATGGAAGGACGGTACCGCGGGGGTATGGCCCGGATGGTTGGCATACGCGAGTAGTCCTGGAGATGGAAGAGACGGAATACTTGGGTGGAGTAGAAATAGTCTGAGGCTTCATCGTGCATGCGCCGGGAGGTCAGGAATAGCGCGACTCGGTGGGAGGTGGGGGAGATGGGAGGGTTTTTCTTCGACGAGGCGCCCACGCTGCCTGTTAAACGCGGGTTGCGTCCGCGTTTCGGGGTGAAGAGCACGAAGTGATAGACGCGTAGACGGATCTCAGAGGGGAGGTCGAAGAAGCGGAAGGGTTTGATGGGGGCTTTCTTCGTACGTTGTTTCTTGATGGGCTTTCCTTTGACGGTTTTGCCAGTGGTGGATTTGTTGTCCAAACGGACTTTTTCCAGTGCTTGGGAGAGGGAGTTCATGTTGGTCATTTTTGTGCGTAGAGGGTGGAAGGTTGAAGAGGCAAGAGAGGGAAAAAAAAACTTGCGCTCAAACGGATCTAGATTGAAAGAGAAGAAATATACGCCACGATACGAATGAGGATCTTTTAGAGAGTGAACTCCTCGAATGCTTGGAAACTTTTCTGATCTTTTCTTTTCTGAATCATCCCATTGTTGCACTGAGCTGGAAGTCGAGAATTAACGACATATACGACACGATATAGCATCCATCACTAATACTTATGAAGGAAGGACAAGAAGGATATATCCCACCAACGGGGCTGCAGCTGCATGGGGTCCCTTCGCTGCGGCTCTTGGATGTGGGAATATTGGTCTCCCCAGCCTAATTCAACCCGGCACGCATGGAGGAGAAAGGCCTGATGAGTCAAATTTATGAGCTGGGTTTCAACTTTCAAATTGTGAGAAAAAAGAAGAAAGGAAGGGAAAGGAAGGCGTCTCCGCGCCGGTATTTAAACTAATTTCCAGTACTGCACTGTTGGTCTGCGTGACCCCGCCCGACGGTCAGTGCGTGAACTTTTCTGTTTCCGCCGAAGACCGCCGGCATTGCTGGGCCCGATCATCCACTTGCTTCTTGATTCTTGATTGTTCTTCACTTCACCCCAACCGTGCTCATTTTACCTCCCTTGGTGTCGGTGGTGATATCATTCCGGCGCGAGTATTCCTCATCTTCTCCCGCTCATCTATAGATGCCCTTTTCACTTTCATAATGCTTAGTCGTGCCGTACTGCCTCTGACGAGGCCGAACGTCCTCACCTCAACCGTTCGAGCTTCAACTATCTCCGTCGCCCACTCGCGTTGGTATGCGAAGTCCACCAAGCCCAAGACTCCCTACAAGCTTCCCGAATCCGTCAAGTCTGCCAAGTCGGAACAGTCGCCCAAGGCTCCCTCTCAGAACGACTACTCCGCGGAGCAGGCCGAATTCGATACCAAGGCTGAACCGGCCACCGAAGCCGTGAGTTTGATGACGACGCTGATAATCTCAACACACCTTCTGACACTTTTTATTTCCAGTCTCAGACCGGCTCTACAGCTCCCCAGAATGATGCTCCTCAAAAACCCCTGCCCGATCTCACCCAGGGCATTCCCTCCACCCTTGCCGCAGAATTGGAAGCCGCCTCGAAGAACCGCGGACCAAGCAAGCTGAACCTTACAGAGGACCCGTCGCGTGCGGAAGATTACGATGATGGTGGCCGTGACATTCCCAACTACGAATCCTCCCTCGATCGCAAGCGCGCTCGCATGGCCAACCTGATGTATGTCCTGTTCCTGCTGGCAGGTGCTGGTGGTGTGGCCTATCTGGGCCGCAACTGGGAGACCGAGGAGGAAGAGAAGGCCCACCCCGATGTGCCATCGGGTTGGGGCTTCGGACTCATGTACAACCGTGCCAAGGCCCGCTTGGGCGATATCACCAGCTACTACAAGGACCCTGCTTTCCCCAAGCTGCTGCCCGATGAGGATCCTAACATGCGTCAGCCTTACACCCTTGTGCTGAGTCTGGAGGACCTCCTGGTGCACAGCGAGTGGAGCCGTGAGCATGGATGGCGTGTGGCCAAGCGTCCTGGTGTCGACTACTTCCTCCGCTATCTCAACCAATATTACGAACTTGTCCTCTTCACCAGCGTGCCCAGCATGATGGCCGACCAGGTGCTCCGGAAGCTTGACCCCTACCGAATTATCCGCTGGCCCTTGTTCCGTGAAGCCACCAAGTACAAGGACGGAGAGTACATCAAGGTATGTCACTGTTGGCTGTACCTTGCTCCCAGTCATGACTAACCCAGACAACTAGGACCTGTCCTACCTCAATCGCGACCTATCCAAGGTGATCTTGATCGACACCAAGGAGGAGCACGCCCGCCTGCAGCCTGAAAATGCCGTCATCCTTGAAAAGTGGCTTGGTGACTCCAAGGACAAGACCCTCGTCGGCATGATCCCCTTCCTCGAATACATCGCTGGTATGGGCGTCGAGGACGTTCGTCCCGTCATCAAGTCCTTCGAGGGCACCCAGATCCCCGTGGAATTCGCCAAGCGTGAGAAGGCCATGCGCGAGCGCTTTGAGAAGGAGCTCGCCGAGGAGCAGAAGAAGCGCCCCCGCAGCGGTCTGGGCAGCTTCGCCTCTGCCCTGGGCCTAAAGTCCACCCGCACCCTGGACGGCGAGCAGAGCCCCTCGGAGGGCTTGGCCCAAGGTAAGATGCTGTGGGACCAAATCCGTGAGCGTGGCCAGAAGAACTACGAGATGATTGAGAAGGAGATCCGTGAGAACGGCGAGAAGTGGCTGGCCGAGATGGCCGCGGAGGAGGAGAAGGCCCGCCAGGAGCAGATGGCCATGATGAAGGGCTCTTTCACCGGCATGTTCGGTGCTGGTCCCAAGCAGCAGTAGATGCTTTCTTGAGCGATGACGCGGCGGGGCGCATGAAGCGCTCGCCCGCAATGACCTTCTCTTCTCTCTTCCGCTGCTTACTTCCCATAAAAGAATTTCATTGGGCTATTTAATGTATATCCGAGATGCCATCTGCTCGATGGTCTCGGGAATGTGGGGTTCACATTAGAGGGGTTTTTCTTGTTCTTTTTTTCATTTCGTTGGCTCTTGCGCGATTCATCACGGGTTTTCGTCTCCGTTGTAAAATAGCATTTGGTTGTGTATTTGGTTTTGCGGTGTATAAATTGATAAATACTAATGAAGTCAAAAAGAACCTTCATTATCCTTGACTTGGGTCTTTTCTTTAATGTTGTACAGCTATCGTATTTTTCTTTGGGGATATTAATCAGTAGATAAAGTTATAAAAAAATGTTTGCGACTAATACATGTGACATTTGTAGCTATTCCATGGTTAGTGAAACTAAAAATAAGTTCCTTGTTGATTGTTGCCAAATGGTAACATTGAGTCCTTGGATCGTATAAGAGTAGTGGTAGTGAGCACGTTTTCCATTACCAACACCCTCTCGGATTTACCAAGTATGCCATCAGGTCTACTAACGGTGAGCATGCACTAGGCAATGACTTTCATTCTAATCGTTGACCTTGCTGGATAGTTGTCGTCCAGAATCGAAGCTTTGGCTGCGATATGATGATGTACCAGATATATACTTTAGCATATAGTGCTGCTACCGAATAGTATTGAACTACTAGTATAAGTAATTAAATAATTATGGTAATTCAACGATTACTAGTAGCATTGCGAGTCTAAATCATTGCATATGGTCTATGGGCTAGTTGAAATAACTGTCAAGTTCAGTATGGTACTTTGTACTCGCACTAGTCAAGTTATCTACTTGTCCGACTTGGCTAGATCACATGACCGAGGGATAGCATCGGAGATTTTGGGGCTGGGAGGGGAGAGGGGAAAAGAGAGGAAGCGCCGACAAGTGCATAGTCATTGAAGAAATCATCCACACCGTCATTGAAGGCTGACAGGCCCAAGCAGGTATGCCTGGCTGGTGGCTTGGTGATCTCCTTGCATTTCTGGAAGCGCGCGCGATCGAAGAAAGCCTTGGTATTACTCCGTAGAATCTGCCAAAACAACTTGTGGGGAGCATTTCAGTCACAGCTGAGTCAGTCAGGGCGACCAACCACGTGCCCCAGATTGATGTAATGGCCATCCGCGCAAGCACTAGTCCGCTTTGGGGAGAGGTCCCTCCTGCCAGGGCTTAGCGCGGTAAGATTGCATACATTGTTTCATACTTACAACTAGTACTATGTAGTAGTAGTGAACAATGCCTCTTAATACATCTCATACATACATACACTAGTTGGTTCTTGTGTTTCATTGTCAGGAACCCATTCCATTTCATCCTCCTCATCCCACCTACTCACTATTCC